ACCACTGTGTCATCCTTCTCCAACCAATCCTCCGTACGATAACGCAGGTCCCGCCCCTCCCAAAATAAAGCCTGGCAGACTCACATCTCTGAGTCCACCCATCTCCAATCAATATATGGTTCGAACCGGGGATCCGGCCCCTCCTCCAGTTCCCACAAAATATCCAGCATATCTTGGGTGCGGGCTTCCAACCACTCCACCAGACTGAGTGTCATCGGCCCCCCATCAACCCTCAACCCCTTCTGCATCTGACAGGAGAAAACCCCCACCACCGCCTGCAGCTGCTGATATTCTCTCTCCAAAGCAATCAGCCAGTCACTGGCCCCTTGTTGTAGGTCCCTAACAGTCTCCATGACTCTCCCGAGAGCTGCGCCGCTTCTTTACGCAAAAAAGCCATCCTCCACTCGGTTGGCGCTTCCCCTGCCCATGTGCAGTGACGCACACACAGCGCCAATCAATGAGTGCCACGTGGCTATCAACAACCCTTGTCACCCTAATGACTACAAATCACCTGAGTTTTGTTTGCTTGTGGATCTGGCGTCCACAGGAAGAGCGAAGAGGTAGATTTATAGTCAGTCTCAGTCGGAGTCTCAGCATGAGTCAGCTCAAACTATCATCCTTTTTTTTTTTTTTTTTTTTTTTTTGAACCAAACCCAACTGAAGTCATTAGGAATGGCGATAAGAGCGGCCAGTGGAGACTCCAGTCGATTGGTGTGGGGAGTATTACCTGCTGAAAACCGGGTTCAGCGTCCCTTATACAGAAAATCTTGTATGTGACGGCCAAGAGAGTGATTGGGCAGTAGTTTCGAATATTAAGTTGTCCCCCTTCTTGTACAGGAGGGACAACACTCCTTGCCCCACTAGTTCTCCCATACAGCCCGTGCACCATACCTCGTTGTAATAGTCCATGAGGTCCAGGCTCAAAAAGTCTCACATTTCTTCCGAAAATTTATTGGGGAGACCATCCAGTCCTGGGTTTTTTCCTCGTCCATCTGCAGCTGGGCCGTCCATATCTCATCCTTGGCTTGGGGGCCCTCAAGGCGGTTTCTTTGTTCTAGGGAGAGGGTTCTAGTCATAGGGAGGAGAAACTCCTCAATTTGTTGCAGCCTAGCGCCCTCATATGTTGGGGGGATGTGGGATGCAAAAAGGCCTTTGAAAAAATCACGGGCTATCTTCATACAGCCTGCTGTAGTACGGATGGGGAGCCCGTCTGGCCGTGCGGGGTCATACAGGGCCTCCATCACTGTGTGTTTGGTCCTAGCATGGGCAATTCTGAAAAAATAGGTGTCCGTTGTGCCTTCAGTGGAGTGCTTAGACAGCTTACCTCTGATCCTAGTGCCTTGCCAGCGGTATTGTGCCAAATGGAGAAGCTTTTCTCTTACCTCAACGATGGTCTGTGTGTGTTCCCGCCATCTGCGGATTGTGCTGCTGTTCTTGCTCTTGAAGTTGAGTCATTAGATCAATTTCCTGCTGGTAACGTTGTCTGGCCAGTTGCTTAGAGAACTC